GACATTAACCACCTGAAGAAGGACATTCATCACCTGGAGGACATTAACCACCTGAAGAAGGACATTGATCACCTGGAGAAGGACATTAACCACCTGAAGAAGGACATTGATCACCTGAAGAAGGACATTAACCACCTGAAGAAGGACATTAACCACCTGAAGGACATTAACCACCTGAAGAAGGACATTAACCACCTGAAGAAGGACATTAACCACCTAAAGAAGGACATTAACCACCTGAAGAAGGACATTAACCACCTGAAGAAGGACTTTAACCACCTGAAGAAGGACATTAACCACCTAAAGAAGGACATTAACCACCTGAAGAAGGACAACACACGTTACAGGTGATAGTCGCCACACACCACCGCTCACACCTTGCCGTAATTGACAACCTCGACTACTTCTGTTTTGGGACGCAATGGGCAACCACGCCGGCGTTTTATGTTGATGTAATTGGTAACCACGGTATTCTTCTGTAGGCGAAATTGTAAACCACATATATTTCGCTTCGTGAATTTGCTTACCCTAATTTCTTGGGGTAATTGACAACCACATCTTTTCTTCCTTTATCGTAATTCAGGACCGTGTAATTGGTATATGTCTTCTTGTCGTTCTAGTGGATTCTTCTGCTTTTGTTTGTAATTGGTGACAAAGTCTTTTCTCATTTTGTCATAATTGGCAAGATACTGTATGTTGTATTTGATATTTCAACATCTATTATCATCTATTAGTAATAACACTTGGCTTTGTTAGTTTTCCAGGTGTTGATAATTAATTGCATTTGTTAATTGTAATAATGTTCATTGTTATTAACCCCATTATTTTAATTATCTCCACAGCTGACACGCTTGAGTTATTTTTCCACATGGTGTGTCAGTCGTGAAGTTACCACCCGCGAAGTTAACCACATGGTGTGTTATTCATTAAGTGGCCACACAGTAAAGGAGGTGGGATAACTAGGTATTTCCCCGCTTTTCCTGACTCCCCCGTATACAGCTGCCAAGATTATCCACCCAGACAATTTTTTTTTTTTTTGGACGAGAGAATGCACGTGTGTGTGTGTGTGTGTGTGTGTGTGTGTGTGTGTGTGTGTGTGTGTGTGTGTGTGTGTGTGTGTAATTAAGCTTTATTTGTGTGTGTACTGTGTGTGTGTGGGTCTTTGTATGAACATATACGTATAAGAGTGTTTTTCCGCTTTCGTTCGTTTCCCTTCTTATTGTGGAGGTTCTCGGGGAAACACTGCCACACTCCGCCTCCGTAACACTTCTCTTGGGGGTTGGTTCACGGATTTGTTTCTTTATATAGAACAGCGAGACGTTCTTGTTGTTGTTAGGAGTGTGATTGTGTTATTATTTGTATTATTGTAGATATTTTTATTATTATTAGTAGTAGTAGTAGTAGTAGTAATCGTAGTAGAATAGCAGTTTTAGTAGTTGCTGCTGCTGTTCGCTTTTATTAGATATCCCTAATATATATATTTTTTCTTGAATGACACACTAGCCAGTTGACTCATTGTATGACTGTACTGAGAGTTAGGATGACCGCGCCTATACCTGCAACACTCACCTGGCTGGTTGTTGCAGGAAATGAAACCTTTGTAATGCTCTTTCGTGTCATTCGCTAGGTGCTGCTCTCTCTCAACAACACATTATCATGAATCCCATAGCTAGCTAAAGAATGAGGCACCCCAAGTCAACCCAACTGCAGCATAGGTACCAAACATTACTTCACCTGAGGAAGTGTAAGACGGTAGTGAACAGTCCTGGTAATTAAAACACCTTGTACTGTAACTTGAATCTCCATTATATTGTATTTACACTGATCCAAACGGGAAGACAGGCGCATTTGACACACTTTCACGTAACTCTTATCAAAGTAACGAATGTCTGTCAGTCTGTCTGTTATTGAATGTATACAAAATACAAGAGAGATCGACAAAAAATTGAATCAAGAAGCTAATGTGTGCTACCTGCAACACTCACCTGGCTGGTTGTTGCAGGAAATGAAACCTTTGTAATGCTCTTTCGTGTCATTCGCTAGGTGCTGCTCTCTCAACAACACATTATCATGAATCCCATAGCTAGCTAAAGAATGAGGCACCCCAAGTCAACCCAACTGCAGCATAGGTACCAAACATTACTTCACCTGAGGAAGTATAAGACGGTAGTGAACAGTCCTGGTAATTAAAACACCTTGTACTGTAACTTGAATCTCCATTATATTGTATTTACACTGATCCAAACGGGAAGACAGGCGCATTTGACACACTTTCACGTAACTCTTATCAAAGTTACGAATGTCTGTCAGTCTGTCTGTTATTGAATGTATACAAAATACAAGAGAGATCGACAAAAAATTGAATCAAGAAGCTAATGTGTGCTGCTGTCTCCAGGTCGATGAGCGTAAAATGTACATTAGTGTGGGGGGGAAGGAGGGATGGTGTGTGTGTGGGGGATGGAGGGATGGTGTGGGAGGTAATGATGGAGGATGGTGGGGGTGATGATGGAGGATGGTGTGGGGGGTGATGATGGAGGATGGTGTGGGGGGTGATGATGGAGGATGGTGTGGGGGGTGATGAAGGAGGATGGTGTGGGGGGTGATGATGGAGGATGGTGGGGGTGATGATGGAGGATGGTGGGGGGTGATGATGGAGGATGGTGTGGGGAGGGTGATGGAGGATGGTGTGGGAGGGTGATGGAGGATGGTGTGGGGTGATGATGGAGGATGGTGGGGGGGTGATGATGGAGGATGGTGTGGGAGGGTGATGGAGGATGGTGTGGGGAGGGTGATGGAGGATGGTGGGAGGGTGATGGAGGATGGTGAAGGTGATGATGGAGGATGGTGGGGGTGGATGATGGAGGATGGTGTGGGGGGTGATGATGGAGGATGTGGGGAGGGTGATGGGGTGGTGTGGGGAGGATGGTGGGGAGGTGATGATAGAGGATGGTGGGGGGTGATGATGGAGGATGGTGGGGTGATGATGGAGGATGGTGTGGGGGGTGATGGAGGATGGTGGGGGGGTGATGATGGAGGATGGTGGGGGGTGATGATGGAGGATGGTGTGGGGGGTGATGCTGGAGGATGGTGTGGGGGTGATGATGGAGGATGGTGGGGGAGGGTGATGATGGAGGATGGTGGGGGAGGGTGATGATGGAGGATGGTGTGGGGGGTGATGATGGAGGATGGTGGGGAGGGTGATGGAGGATGGTGTGGGGGTGATGATGGAGGATGGTGTGGGGAGGGTGATGATGGAGGATGGTGGGGGTGATGATGGAGGATGGTGTGGGGGGTGATGGAGGATGGTGGGGGAGGTGATGAGTGATGGATGGGGGGGTGATGATGGAGGATGGTGGGGGAGGGTGTGATGGAGGATGGTGGGGAGGATGGAGGATGTGGAAGGTGATGATGGAGGATGGTGGGGGGTGATGATGGAGGATGGTGTGGGGGGTGATGATGGAGGATGGTGTGGGAGGGTGATGGAGGATGGTGGAAGGTGATGATGGAGGATGGTGTGGGGGGTGATGATGGAGGATGGTGTGGGGTGATGATGGAGGATGGTGGGGGGGATGATGGTGGTGGGAGGGATGAGGATGGTGGGAGGTGATGGAGGAGTGGAGGGTGATGGAGGATGGTGTGGAGGTGACGATGGAGGATGGTGTGGGAGGGTGATGGAGGATGGTGTGGAAGGTGATGATGGAGGATGGTGTGGGGATGATGGAGGATGGTGTGGGGTGATGGAGGATGGTGTGGAAGGTGATGATGGAGGATGGTGTGGAGGGGGAGGGGATGATGGAGGATGGTGTGGGAGATAAAGCTTGTGGTGGGGATCAAAGGATGTGATGCTGTTGTAGTGACGTCAAGTTCTCCTAAGTGAGGTTATGTGAGAGACGCACAAAAAAAGTGTTGAGGAAGTCAGTCAGTCTCTCTCTTAAAAGAAGAAATACTTCATTATCTTGACTAGAGATCAATAAACTCACCGCCACCGCTGTCACGACGACTGAAGCTTGAGTAAGAGTGGGTCACCATTAACACGAACATCAAGGGGGTAGGAGGGGGAAATTCAGCCTTAAAACACATGGCTGTTAAAATAAGCTGTTGTTATCGCTATTGATATCGTGAGAGTCGCCCTGCCATGACACGAGACACCGCTCGCCAGCCGCCACTGCCTATACCCACACACACCCTACCTCCCGCAGACTGGCGATTAGATAATATGTTGCTTATCCACGACCATCTAATCTTAGCACTAACTTTCTTTGTCTCACGCGGTCTGTTTTATCTTCAGGGCGCCCAACACACCTACTGTACAGCACCAAGATTCCCCGGCCGGTCTTCGTTCTTACCTCTATACAAGGAAGACATCTCCGTGATCTCATTTACGTCGAATTTGATCTATGCAATTTAGGTGGACGACTGAGTTGACGAAGGCCACAGAGGAGGTGATCTTGTTTGGGTTCTCTGGGTGTCGTTTTCTAGCGTGGGAAGATTGCTTTTAAAGGGGATTATTTCACGTATCTTAGGAATGTTTTTATCAATTGTTTGGGTCCAACCTAAGCATACCTGACCCGCTGTCTGTGTTGTTCTCAGGTAACTATTTATATGTTTCTTTTCTTATAAATACCAAAACGATTCATGTTCTTAATCGTCAAACTTTCCTTCCCACCAATTTTGTTTTATATAAATGAGAAAGACAGAACAGGTATTTTGGATGTCATTTTGTTGACATCATCGTGTTGACATCGTAGTTTAAATCAGCCAGTTAGATCTACCATACTTTAAGATACGATAAAAAATAAATAACGTAAGAACATTCTGTGACTCTGAACCAAGAATAATTTTAATTAATACACAATTTAAACTCGTCATGACTGTCCTCTCAGGGGTCAGGAAACTGCCTTCTAATCCACACGTAAACAAATTCCTACGCCAGGATGTGTAAAAACCTTAACCCACAGCACATAAACAATGACGGGAAGAAGGTGATAAATGAGTTTGTTTATCCTTAACCCTCGCTGATCAATGCTTGTTATGGACTCCCTGAACACATTCCCAGACGCTACGCCAAGACATCAACATCTTCGACTTCATATTCGTAAACAAACAAATTATACCAACAAGTCCCTTTAGCCTCCAACTGACCGTGGCTTAGAGTTGTCTGGCCTTGTATAGACTGATGCCCGTAGAGTCGAAAGTTCCCACGATCAAGTGAGGGGATAATCGACCACTTGGTACTTCTCGTTTTCTTTTTTATCATCTCTTTTTTTTTTTTAGTGATCTTGCGTGCCTGACGTTCTTACCGTGTCTTTGTGTTTTAAGTGTTGTTTTCGGATCAATTTTAAGCTTAGGGA